TGTTTGTAGCCCTAATGTCTTTGTTGTTGTTGATTTCCTGTTTGTAGCCCTAATGTCTTTGTTGTTGATGATTTTGTTTGTAGCTGTCTTTGTTGTTGAGATTTTCTGTTTGTAGCCTAATGTCTTTGTTGTTGTTGATTTCCTGTTTGTAGCCCTAATGTCTTTGTTGTTGATGATTTCCTGTTGGTTGACCTAATGTCTTTGTTGTTGTTGTTGCCCTATGATTTTCTGTTTGTAGCCCTAATGTCTTTGTTGTTGATGATTTTCTGTTTGTATTTTCTGTTGGTTGCCCTAATGCTTTGTTGTTGTTGATTTTCTGTTTGTAGCTAATGTCTTTGTTGTTGATGATTTCCTGTTGGTTGCCCTAATGTCTTTGTTGTTGATGATTTCCTGTTTGTAGCCCTAATGTCTTTGTTGTTGATGATTTCCGGTTGGTTGCCCTGATGTCTTTGTTGTTGTTGATTTTCTGTTGGTTGCCCTAATGTCTTTGTTGTTGTTTATTTTCTGTTTGTAGCCCTAATGTCTTTGTTGTTGTTGATTTCCTGTTTGTAGCCCTAATGTCTTTGTTGTTGATGATTTTCTGTTTGTAGCCCTAATGTCTTTGTTGTTGATGATTTTCTGTTTGTAGCCCTAATGTCTTTGTTGTTGTTGATTTTCTGTTGTTTGCCCTAATGTCTTTGTTGTTGTTGATTTCCTGTTTGTAGCCCTAATGTCTTTGTTGTTGTTGATTTCCTGTTTGTTGCCCTAATGTCTTTGTTGTTGATTTCCTGTTTGTAGCCCTAATGTCTTTGTTGTTGTTGATTTCCTGTTTGTTGCCCTAATGTCTTTGTTGTTGATTTCCTGTTTGTAGCCCAAATGTCTTTGTTGTTGATGATTTCCTGTTGGTTGCCCTGATGTCTTTGTTGTTGTCGATTTTCTGTTGGTTGCCCTAATGTCTTTGCTGTTGTTTATTTTTTGTTTGTAGCTCTAATGTCTATGTTCTTGTTGATTTCCTGTTTGTAGCACTAATGTCTTTGTTGTTGATGATTTTCTGTTGTTTGCCCTAATGTCTTTGTTGTTGTTGATTTCCTGTTTGTAGCCCTAATGTCTTTGTTGTTGTTGATTTCCTGTTGGTTGCCCTAATATCTTTGTTGTTGTTAATGTCTTTGTTGTTGATGATTTTCTGTTTGTTGCCCTAATGTCGTTGTTGTTGTTGATTTCCTGTTTGTAGCCCTAATGTCTTTGTTGCTGTTGATTTCCTGTTTGTAACCCTAATGTCTTTGTTGTTGTTGATTTCCTGTTGGTTGCCCTAATGTCTTTGTTGTTGATGATTTCCTGTTTGTTGCCCTAATGTCTTTGATGTTGATGATTTCCTGTTGGTTGCCCTAATGTCTTTGTTGTTGATGATTTCCTGTTTGTAGCCCTAATGTCTTTGTTGTTGATGATTTCCTTGTTGTTGTTGATTTCCTGTTGATTGTCATTCTGTCTGTGTGTTTGTTGATCTGCCGCTTGCTGGCCTTATGTCAATTTTTTTGTTGGTTTTTACTGTTGTTTGCCCTAATGTCTTTGTTGTTGTTGATTTCCTGTTTGTAGCCCTAATGTCTTTGTTGTTGATGATTTTCTGTTTGTAGCCCTAATGTCTTTGTTGTTGATGATTTTCTGTTTGTAGCCCTAATGTCTATGTTGTTGTTGATTTCCTGTTTGTAGCCCTAATGTCTTTGTTGTTGTTGATTTCCTGTTTGTAGCAGTAATGTCTTTGTTGTTGATTTCCTGTTTGTAGCCCTAATGTCTTTGTTGTTGATGATTTTCTGTTGGTTGCCCTAATGTCTTTGTTGTTGTTTATTTTCTGTTTGTAGCCTAATGTCTTTGTTGTTGATTTTCAGTTTTAGCCCTAATATCTTTGTTGTTGATGATTTTCTGTTGGTAGCCCTAATGTCTTTGTTGTTGATGATTTTCTGTTTGTAGCCCTAATGTCTATGTTGTTGTTGATTTTCTGTTGGTTGCCCTAATGTCTTTGTTGTTGTTGATTTCCTGTTTGTAGCCCTAATGTCTTTGTTGTTGATGATTTCCTGTTAGTAGCCCTAATGTCTTTGTTGTTGTTGATTTCCTGTTTGTAGCCCTAATGTCTTTGTTGTTGTTGATTTCCCCTGTTTGTTGCCCTAATGTCTTTGTTGTTGTTGATTTCCTGTTTGTAGCACTAATGTCTTTGTTGTTGTTGATTTCCTGTTTGTAGCACTAATGTCTTTGTTGTTGTTGATTTCCTGTTGTTTGTCCTAATGTCTTTGTTGTTGTTGATTTCCTGTTTGTAGCCCTAATGTCTTTGTTGTTGATGATTTTCTGTTTGTAGCCCTAATGTCTTTGTTGTTGATGATTTCCTGTTGGTTGCCCTAATGTCTTTGTTGTTGATGATTTCCTGTTTGTAGCCCTAATGTCTTTGTTGTTGATGATTTTCTGTTGGTTGCCCTAATGTCTTTGTTGTTGTTTATTTTCTGTTTGTAGCCCTAATGTCTTTGTTGTTGTTGATTTTCTGTTTGTAGCCCTAATATCTTTGTTGTTGATGATTTTCTGTTTGTAGCCCTAATGTCTTTGTTGTTGTTGATTTCCTGTTTGTAGCCCTAAAGTCTTTGTTGTTGTTGATTTCCTGTTGGTTGCCCTGATGTCTTTGTTGTTGTTGATTTTCTGTTGGTTGCCCTAATGTCTTTGTTGTTGTTTATTTTCTGTTTGTAGCCCTAATGTCTTTGTTGTTGTTGATTTCCTGTTGGTTGCCCTAATGTCTTTGTTGTTGTTGATTTCCTGTTTGTAGCCCTAATGTCTTTGTTGTTGTTGATTTCCTGTTGGTTGCCCTAATGTCTTTGTTGTTGTTGATTTCCTGTTGGTTGCCCTAATGTCTTTGTTGTTGATGATTTCCTGTTTGTAGCCCTAATGTCTTTGTTGTTGATGATTTCCTGTTTGTAGCCCTAATGTCTTTGTTGTTGTTGATTTCCTGTTTGTAGCCCTAATGTCTTTGTTGTTGATGATTTCCTGTTGGTTGCCCTAATGTCTTTGTTGTTTATTTCCTGTTTGTAGCCCTAATGTCTTTGTTGTTGTTGATTTCCTGTTTGTAGCCCTAATGTCTTTGCTGTTGTTGATTTTCTGTTTGTTGCCCTAATGTCTTTGTTGTTGTTTATTTTCTGTTTGTAGCACTAATGTCTTTGTTGTTGATGATTTTCTGTTTGTAGCCCTAATGTCTTTGTTGTTGTTGATTTCCTGTTGGTTGCCCTAATGTCTTTGTTGTTGATGATTTCCTGTTTGTAGCCCTAATGTCTTTGTTGTTGATGATTTCCTGTTGGTTGCCCTAATGTCTTTGTTGTTGTTGATTTCCTGTTTGTAGCCCTAATGTCTTTGTTGTTGTTGATTTCCTGTTGATTGTCATACTGTCTGTGTTGTTGTTGATTTCCTGCAGGTTGGCGTACTGTCAATATTTTTGTTGGTTTTTACTGTTGTTTGCCCTAATGTCTTTGTTGTTGTTGATTTCCTGTTTGTAGCCCTAATGTCTTTGTTGTTGATGATTTTCTGTTTGTAGCCCTAATGTCTTTGTTGTTGATGATTTTCTGTTTGTAGCCCTAATGTCTATGTTGTTGTTGATTTTCTGTTGTTTGCCCTAATGTCTTTGTTGTTGTTGATTTCCTGTTGATTGTCATACTGTCTGTGTTGTTGTTGATTTCCTGCTGGTTGGCGTACTGTCAATATTTGTGTTGGTTTTTACTGTTGGTTGGCGTAATGTCTGTTGTTGATGACTTTCTATTGTTTTCTGTGATTTTGATAGTATTTTTTCCTTTTCTTTTGTTTTCTAGTTGTCATCACTATGATTTCATTGTGCTTGTCGTTATTATGCATTTTAATTTTCGCTTAAGTTTCAAGTTGAACTTTTAATCTGACTTTGCGACAGATTATCGACCAGGCTTGTTTTGTCGATTTTTTTCGTAAGTCATCAATTTCTATCAAATTCGGTTACCTTTGTCTTTGATGATATAATTTACTGACATTTAAACTAAGGGGCAATTTATTTCTAGTGTCTCTGTTCGCTAATTTCGAGTATAGAATGGAATACTGTGGATTCATTTTCTTTCGTGGGGGTCCAATTTTCGTTGTTTTCGTGGATGAGCAAATCCACGAATTTAAAAACACAACGAAATATGAACTACTTACTAAAGTAATTTTGGAATTTGACCAAGTAATCTTTGCCGACACCGGAAACGTCCACCGGTAATGACAGAAGCCCCGTAATTAGTCGGGAGTCGGGTAGCCCAGGAACGTCAGGCTTTCGCAGATTCAATTTCCCGGATTTTAACCACTGTGTTAACGACATGATGGATAAGATACATAATGATATGTTCATCACTGTGATTTCTTTATACTATCGTCAGTGAGTTGTGTTTTTACTTCATAATTGTTTCTGCAGATCTTGTTTACACACCTGTTTACACACATGGTCCAATCGATACGCGTGGTGTTTTCATATGACTGCGGTACACCGACTGATCAGCGCACAATGTTTATCCACTGAAAACAATTGTTTCTGATAATTACCGATTGATTACACGCCTGGATATATACTGATTTGTGGTTTGATATTAATGCGAGACACAGGACGCCATCTTGGAAAAAAACGTTCTTTTATTCTTGTCATCAGTGTTAATTCCTGTGAACATAGCCTTAATACAAACAGAAAAAATTTCGACTGGAAGCAAAAAGAGAAAATTCTAAAGTTTTTATTTTTTTCCCACAGAATCAAAAATCCACGAATTTATGAGTCCACGAAACTGTCTAATTTGTAGAAACAACGAAAATTGAACCCAACGAAAATAAATGAATCCACAGTAGTAAAAACGTGTTTCTTAAAAATGAAATTTAAAAAAGGAAACCTTTCAGGGTTAAAGATAGATCAGCATCCCTCTCGCTTCAAGTTTTTGGAAAATCTGCCAAACCCTGAACCCTCGAAAAAATATTTCAGTATCTATTTACGTGAAAAATTATTTCAGTGGCAACGAAACGAGCAATGTACGGGGAGTGTGTGAAGACATGTGGCTTTGAACTTCCACTACGTGTAATGTTCATGGACAGACATTGTATCAGGGATGACGATAATTGTTCATACTGCAAGTACTATGGCTGTCCTCCGGTGGAGTGTTTCTCTAAGGGCAAGAAGGTGGTTCCCGAAATCACTCCAGACGGCCGATGTATGGCATGCAAAGGTAATTAACTGACACCCTAACCTCTGTGACGGATCGCTTATTATAATTCATAACTTGTCTGTTTGCGTTGAATTACAATTATTGTAACAAAAGTAATACACAGTGAGTATGAGCGGTATTATTGTTATCGGATAGTATGCACTATTAAAGGACGATTGAAACTTTTACATTAGTATATAATGAATAAATTATGTCTCATTTAATTGATCAATTAACAACACTTCATTTTAAACTCTGAATTTGTTTATGTAACCTTTTATCTATCAGTAGTAATATAAACATAACTTTTATATCTCATTAAAACCTACCTAGCGGTAACTACCATCATCTACAACATTGGCTGTAACTATTTCTCGCTTAGCAATCCACCTGTCTATATGTACCATCTGTCTATATCTACCAATCACCTACAACCTTGGCTGTAACTATTTCTCGCTTAGCAATCCACCTGTCTATATCTACCTGTCTATATCATATACCTGTCTATATCTACCAATCATCTACAACATTGGCTGTAACTATTTCTCGCCTATAGCATATCACCTATTTATATCTATCCCCTGTCTATAGCTCCTACCTGTCTATATCTACCACCTGTCTTTAACTAACACCTATCTATATCTACCACCTATCTATAACTATAACCTGTCTATAACTACCATTTGTCTATAAATACCTCCTGTCTATATCTACCACCTACCTATATCTACCACCTGTCTATAACTACTACCTGTCTATATTTATCACCTGTCTATATTTACCACCTGTCTATATCTACCACCTGTCAATATCTACTACCTTTCTTTATCTATCATCTGTCTATATAATTACGACCTATATATAGCTACCACCTGTCTATATTTACCACCTGTCTATATCTACCACCTGTCTATAACTATCACCTGTATATATCTATCACCTGTCTATATTTACCACCTGTCTATATCTACCACCTGTCTATATCTACTACCTGTCTATAACTATCACCTGTATATATCTACCACCTGTCTATATCTTTCAACTATCCATATATACCACCTGTCTGAATTTTCAAACTGTCTATATCTATCACCTGTCTATATCTACCACCTGTCTATATCTACCACCTGTCTATAACTACTCCCATCTGTCTATATCTACTACCTGTCTATAACTACCACCATCTGTCTATATCTAATATCACCTATTTATATCTATCCCCTGTCTATAGCTCCTACCTGTCTATATCTACCACCTGTCTTTAACTAACACCTATCTATATCTACCACCTGTCTATGTCTACCATCTGTCTTTAACTAACACCTATCTATATCTACCACCTGTCTATATCTATCTCCTGTCTATAACTACCATTTGTTTATAAATACCCCCTGTCTATATCTACCACCTATCTATATCTACCAACTGTCTATAACTACTACCTGTCTATATTTATCACCTGTCTTTTTCTACCACCTGTCTATAACTACCACCAGTCTACATCTACAACCTGTCCATATCTATCACCTGTCAATATCTACTACCTTTATATATCTATCATCTGTCTATATCTACGACCTATATATAGCTACCACCTGTCTATATTTACCACCTGTCTATATCTACCACCTGTCTAGATCTACCACCTGTCTATAACTATCACATGTATATAACTATCACCTGTCTATATCTACCATCTTTCTCTATCTACCACCTGTCTAGATCTACCACCTGTCTATAACTATCACATGTATATAACTACCACCCGTCTATATCTGTCACCTGTCCATATATAACATCTGTCTATAACTACCACCTGTCTACATCTACCACCTGTATATAACTACCACCTATCTATATATTTTACATGTCTATAACTTCTACCTGTCTATATCTACCACCTGTCTATAACTATCACCTGTATATATCTATCACCTGTCTATATATGTCACCTGTCTATATCTATCACCTATCTATATCTACCACCTGTCTATATCTTTCACCTGTCTATATATACCACCTGTCTATATCTACCACCTGTCTATATCTATCATCTGTCTATATATACCACCTGTCTAAATCTATCACCTGTCTATATATACCACCTGTCTGAATTTTCAACCTGTCTATGTCTATCACCTGTCTATAACTATCACCTGTATACATATATCATCTATCTATATATACTACCTATCTGAATTTTCCACATGTCTTTAACTACCTCCGGTCTATATCTATCACCTGTCTATATCTATTACCTATCTATATATATCATATGTCTATATCTACGACCTATATATAGCTACCACCTGTCTATATTTACCACCTGTCTATATCTACCACCTGTCTAGATCTACCACCTGTCTATAACTATCACATGTATATAACTATCACCTGTCTATATCTACCATCTGTCTCTATCTATCACCTGTCTATATCTACCACCTGTCTGTAACTACCGCATGTCTTTAACTACCTCCGGTCTATATCTATCACCTGTCTAATTCTTTCACCTGTCTATAAATACCACATGTCTTTAACTACCTCCGGTCTATGTCTATCACCTGTGAATATCTACAACCTGTCTGTAACGATTACCTGTCTATATCTACCACCTGTCTATAACTACCACATGTCTTTAACTACCACCTGTCTATAACTATCACCTGTTTATATCTACCACCTGTCTATAACTACCGCCTATCTATATATTTCACATTTCTATAACTACTAACTGTCTATATCTATCACCTGTCTATATCTACGACCTAATCTTGTCTTTGTAACACCGCTGACAACTCCTACCAGAATTTTGAATATTTACTTGACGAAACGTAAAGCAATTGCATACAATGTTTAGGGATTTTTTTATCATTGTTTTCCTTGTTGGTGTAGTGGAGTATTTTGCTTTCTTCTTTCTGAATTTTGGTTGTCAGTGTTGTATTAATCTCAATTGTCGTGACCAAGTGTCATGTTTCATGTGTAAACAAAACACGTGTGAGGTGGGTGAAGGAGAGACCTCACAGTTGTGATAAGAATAAGCTGTCTTCACCTAACACAATCTTACCTGTTTATATACAACACCTGTATAAAGCACGTGCTGATTAATATTTATCCGTATATAATAACCATCAAATATTATAATGGAGTATTTACAACCTGTCCGTTCCATAAATTAAATTTTCATACGAAAACCATTTAATATCTTTTATTATTGATTTCTAGTGATGTGTTATATAAATACCTCTAAATGTTAATATTTTGTTATGAATACAGATATAATTATAATACTATTGTAAAGCTTTTCACCAGTTGTTTACTCTATCTTATGGTTTCTACTTTTCGGGCTTTTATTTTTCTGTCATTACAACCAGCCGTCTACAATGATCATTTCGTCCATATGTCTGCATTAGTAAAGAATCGTACATACAATCCTATGTGTATAAGCACTTTAAACGTTTAATTGTTTTTTTTAATGAAATAAATCATTTAATGTAATATTCCTACTTAGAAACACAATATTCTTTGTGGTATAACATAGTTAATCATTAGAGGTAAGCCAGATATCAATGGGATATACAAAATGTATACTTATTATAAACAGAAAGCAACATCATGTTTGACGAAAATGATTAGAATCCATTGATAGAAGACATACACATTTTCTATAGACTTGTATTTGTACGTCACTTCGTTAAGTTTACTATATTTAGAACCGCCTTAGTTCCTTACTACCTCGAACATCTATGATATCTAACTCTCTAATGTCACTGTGTAAAGGATTTGTACAGATTTCACAATAAGTAAGGGATGTCACTCTGTCACTCCATCATACATTATTCACAACTGTATCGAATTTTTGTCAGGTCGATGTGTGTACGGCGGGGAGGTGTTCAAGAAGGGAGACAAATTCATGGCTGTTGATGACCTAAACACTTGTAAATGTCAAAATCAAGGCCGCGTCCTGTGTACCATGAAGAGAAAAAAACCTTCCATCAGCGGATTCTGTGATATTTAAACGGCGTATTTAATTTAGAATGAATTCGTTCTTCACAAGAAACGTCATCCCAGCGAGCTGCTGTGTATATCTACGATCTGGTAGAGAAAAGGATATGAACTTACATCGTCTTTGGAAAAATGAGATCTGGTGGAAGACCAATAAAACATATTGGACTCTTTAACAGATTAATGATAATGTTCGATTTTCTTATTAATTGGACACTTCCCAAAATGGCGATTATTTTTCTTTTTTAATCGTGCTAGTGATTAAAGGTATCTTGTGTCTGGGTGGCATCTTAAACAGATTTTTGTTCTGTATTTTGCAAGATCTGTCACAAGAAATATCAAACCGAGTAAGTGAACAGTTAGAGGCAGCCTTAAAACGCATTATGAATCATGTTAAGGAATTGATTGACTGACAGCACAAAAACCTTATAAGGAAACATATATATTATAAAGATGACATGGGACTTATATAATATCAAAACGACCTAAACTGGAAAGGTCATATCTTCACATTAAGTCAGACATTGACGTGGTAACAATGAATAACAGTAGAAGTCTAGGAAACACACTAATGTAATGACTTAATTATAAAGATTTTATCTGGAGAATTTATTCATACACAACAACACTATACTCAACATATAAATACAGTTAACGATATATTACTGGATTTCATGTATAGCTAGTAATATGTAATCCTGTCACAGAAATCAATACAAAATTAAATTAAAAAAAGATTAAAAAGTAATATTGGTTTATATGTCGTGCATGTGCGGTCTCGAGTAGGCGCGCCTTTCTGAACATATAGTAGCATACAGCCATTATCTAATATAAAATATATTGAATATAAAAAAAAAACCTATTCGACCAGAATTATCTCAAGCATGTTGTATACTTGCAAACTGTTTAACAAACAACAGACATATCTTTGTTACTATGCGTTTGGCCCTATTGGAAACACAGTAAATCATAACTAAAGCATCTGTTTGTGTGCTGCTTAATGCGGCTTATTATCAAACGAGGCACGATTTCTTTAAACCGTAATGTGCAGCCGTTTATCATGAAGTGATGTATCAGATTTAATATCCTATGCATTCTTGATACATGTCTGCTCCATAGACGATCTAATTAATTTTTCTTCGGTGATATCATACAGATGTAGACTTACGAAAACCATTTTGTTGACTTCTTCTATATCAAGGATATGCATTGAAGGATAAAAATCAACAGAAAGTGGGACGATCTTATATGAAACATGTATGTTAATTATTCAAAATATTTACAAAAAATCAACACATTGCAATCGTTGTTATTATGCATACTGTTGCATTTGAATCACTACTGATTTACAACATAAATAACGGATGAATTCAAACAACGTTAAACCCTATACAATGATTCTCATTAAATGTGATACATGAATACAACGGCACTACACACTGATCGAGATCTCTGTGAACTGTAAATCATATTTTCGAGGGTCTTAATATCCGTATTTGAGTTTTCATACCTCTACCGTATCAATGAAATGTCAGATTTATTCGACCAAAACTATTCAGTTGTAACATAAAGTGTAATTGTATGTAAATGGTAAGTTTTAAGACGTGGTAACATCTCTTAATTAGCTTAATTGTGCAAATTGACCCTGGATCATGATCAAATTATTAGAACGCAACCGAGCGAATTTTGAGTTAAAGATAAGATGTTAAAACATTGGCAGGATAATACAGGGCGTCATACATGTATATATGAGTCAGGAGAACATTTTATGGCATGTCAGTTTAAGTAAAAAGCATAAATAAATTTAACAGAATTGATAAATGGATCTGCAAAGTCAAACAGAAATGGCACATCGAGGTTAAAAATGTCAAATCAACTGAAAAAAAAAATCACCATCAATATAAAGCGAAATAGAACATATATTGTGAACGATAAACGTAACCTTAGGGTACAAAACGTGCCATATCTTATCAAATATACATATATGTACGACAAGCCAGATAAACGATTCATTATTCTGAGGAGATGAGAAGGCAAATATCAATAAAGAGTATGAAATCAAGGAATCAATGACTGCAAAAAAAAAAAAAAAAAAAGAAAATATTTTCATGTTTTTATGATAAAAAGAAATTAATTCTTACTCAACATGTGTGCCCTGACTTTTGATTCATTGCAGTTTAAAAACAGCAAAGTAGTGCGAACAAGTGGACATGATTATAATCCAAACTCAGATGTAATAAAACTAAACAAGTTCTTCTGGACAAGCTACATGTAACCGTCTTCTGCTTTATCTTGATCAATCCAAGCAATTACGTGACGTTCTCACATGAGAACAAGGTATACAACAAGGACATCAACAGGCAAACTAACGAGCATCAAACACGTCCAGTTTCATGTCACACAAAGAAATAATAAATTGAGTCTGCCTCCCACGTCCGTAAAACTTCCCGATAATTTTCACCAACCTGCATCTTCACAGACCCTGTGTTCCGAGTTTGTCTGTCACTTGTTGACATACTTAATTTCATATCATACTTCATGTCTCTATGATATCAGTTGATCATTGTTGCAATGATGACTATAAAGACAGCTCCATGAAGGTAGGAAAGAATTATCACTGTTCATCTATATTACATCTGTGATTATTATAGAGGTTTCTTAAAAAAAAAAAAAAAAAAGAAAAACAGCAAATTACCGACATGCCAACATAATCACAATCCAACCTCCAATTCAATAAAAAATACACGGAGAGACTCCAGAAAAGTCGAAGGAGAATAAGACCCGATGTTTCGGAAGAGTAAGCGTCTTCTGTTTCATCGACGACAACATTCATGTAAACCTTGGTCAATCGAAGTAATTATTGTCACGTTTTCAAAGGAGAACAAGGTATAAAACAACGAAACCAAAAGGCAAACTTACGAGCATCAAACAGGTCAAGCTTAATATCGCAACAAAGAAATAAACAACTAGTCATAATGGTCTCATTGAGAAATGTTGAATATACGGTTGTCTGACATTGTAATCAATTTGCATCTGTAGAAACGCTGTATCATAAATTCGTCTGTCAGATGGTGACTCCTTGCTCGAAAATCTTTTAAAATGGGAAAGTGAATTTCAACGACTTTGCAAGGTCTTTGTGATCTGTTTTGTTACACTCTTCAATAAAATTACAAAGTACGAGTACAAAGTCCACCAGCACCGGTGCGCAGTCAGTTCCCATATAGATGACAATAGTCTGTTGGAAGATCATACCACCAAACTTGACGAAGATGTTGTAAACTAGAAACTCGGACATCAAGGTTGGGGTTCATTATCACGGTTGATCCAAGTTACATTGGTGATTATAGCTGAAGATATTATTATTATTATGACATTCTTAACACATAAAAGGTCGCTGGGGCCATCAAACGGTAAAACACACCGCGATCTAAAAAGGAAATAACATCAAACAAACTAAAACGTGAAAGAGAAATGCTAAAAATCTCACATAGTTATATTATCACAAAAGATTAGAATGTTAAGTCATATTACATGATACAGACCAACATCTTTCAGATAACCTAGAATTCTACGAATCTCAACAGTTTCAAAAAGGGTTTTTAGACATGTAATGTCACAATAAAACATTTCTCGAGTAGGCAGAAGGTCAATGCAGTCCAATGAAAAATGTTTAACGGTGAATAGTTTATCACATCCTACGCACTGAGGATTATCTTCAACTTTCAACATATACTCGGCGTCAATGAAAACGCAACACCTTTAAATTTACCAGTTGTAGTTTTGAATACAATAATTAATAAAATACCTAAAAGTTGATTATGTCCATAACAAAATTCACTCAATGCAATCAGCACTACATCATGGGAATTCTTTGATTTCCGGTGACTAATGTCCATACCCCCAAAATCAAAATTACCACGTTCAATATCTAATGTGGCCACCATTTGCAGCGACACAAGCGCGGCATCTTCGAGGCATTGACCGAATAAGGCGTTGAATTTTGATTTGAGGAATGTTCCTCCACTCTTCCTGAAGAGCGATTTCAAGCTGCCAACGCGTCTGGGGCTGTTGTGGTCGCTCTCTCACAGCCCTACCCAATTGGTCCCAAAGATGCTCGATCGGACTAAGATCCGGGGAAAACGCAGGCCACGGAAGGGTTCCGATGTTCTGATGTTGAAGGTAGTCTGTAGTGATACGAGCGGTATGTGGTCGTGCATTGTCCTGTTGCAATAACGCTACGTTTGGGTGTCCAGCAAAGAATGGAACAACAGCAGGAGTTAAGACCTCGTTGATGTAGCGCTGTGCTGTTAGATTGCCGTCAATAATTACTAGAGGGGTACGGTATGCAAAAGAGATACCTCCCCACACCATTACACTGCCCCCGCCCCACCTATCCGTTTCCGTTACACAGCAGTCCAAAAACCTTTCACCTCGACGTCGCCACACTCGAATTCTACCGTCATTTCCTTTGAGGCGGAATCTCGATTCGTCGGTGAACAGGACGCCAGCCCACCGACGTTGGGTCCATCCTCGGCGCTGTCTTGTCCAATTTAGACGATTTTGACGGCGAATTTGAGTCAATTCGTTTCTTCTAAATGGACGGCGCGACGCCAATCCGGTTGTGCGAAGGCGACGGCGCACAGTACTAGCTGACAAACGTCTGCCATGACTTCCTATCGTCTGTCTAGCCGTTCTTGTCGCGGTTTGAAAACGATCTCGCAGGTGACTTAGTCAAATGTAACGGTCCTGGTTTGGCGTCGTCACTCTGTCGCCCCGGACGAGGTCGATCTCTCACGGATCCGGTTTGTCGCACTCGTTCTGCCAGTCGATTGATTGTGGAAGCAGAACAACCCATTCTCCTGGCAACTTCCCTCTGAGAAAGCCCTCCTGCCAGCATACCCCGAGCTTCGTGTCTTTCATTGTCTGTCAGTCGAGGCATTTGTAGCAAATAATGATGACAATTTAAAAAATTGGTGACGAAAAAATGTCTGCCTGTTACTACAGTGTTCACTA